TAAATGGGGATCCTGGGCAGTGGGTTTGGGGACCCAGGTGGGGCTGGTTAGGGCAATTGAGGCTTATGGGTACACCCCCCATGACTTAAAGACAATCCTAGAAAGTTAAAAGCAAACTAAAACAAGCAAGTTAGCAATTCCCAATTCAATTGTGAATATAACACTCAAGGGATTCAAGCTTTTAAGGGAAATAGTTTTTTTCAATGTACAAAAATCAGAAAAAAAGTCAGACTGAGTCACAAGGTAAAACTTCAGGTCACCTTTTAGAGACCAAAGGGCAGCAGCTCCTCCTCCCAATGCTTCCTGAACCTCTCTGCAGGGACACACTATGTGGATATGCTGTAGAAGTGACATTAGTATAAAAAGATAAAAGCACAAAGAACACAAGTTCTCTACCTATATCCATGAGAATACAGAGCAGAAAGAGACTTCTAAAGAGAGGCTTACTGTAATTCCTGGAGAAATTCCTTACTATCTTTGACAAATCCATCTTATAAGGAATGCCAGATAAAGCCCTTCAGTATTGCCGCCAGATTAGCTCAACTTTCAGAGCCAAGAACTTGAGAGTACTGAAAATTGATGTTTCCTTGCCCTGCAGAAACACTGCTCCAGTTGTCCTTGCACAGTACAGGCCAGCAGAACACAGAACATCACCAGATTACTGATACAGCCTTGCAACAAAGCAGTTAAAAATTCTTTAAAAAAAATAGAATTGGATCAGACCCCATGTTTTCATAAAAAAAAGCAAAGAAAAAAACCCATGGTATTACAAGTTTTCACAGCTACGGTATTAACAAAGATTCTCTACTAGTAGCAGAATATAGCTTCAGTTTGCAATTCATAGCAACTATAAACAACAAGGTGTAAGTTACATTGCACCTGAAAAAGAACTACTCAATAGAATACTTTCTACATATAGTATTATTACAGTAAACAACATACAGGCTGTTTTGTTATAATGATTGTTAAAAGTCCCCAGTCAAGTAAAACAAATAGAAGCATCTACATATTCATTTGCAGCATTTGAGCAGACCAATACAATGAGAAAAGCATTACAACAAAGTAAGATGACAAAAGGAGCAGCAGAAAAGAAAGGCGCTAAGAAGGAAAGAAAGAAGACTGCTTACTCATATCAGAAAATTCTGTTTGCAAAGGAAAACTTCACCAAAAAGGGATCTCCAAAAAGAGACCCTTCCCCAGTAGGGGTCAGCCCTTAAATGAGGTCTAAGAGAGGTACAGCCAGGCTCCACCCCTTTCACTCACTCAGCTGAACTGCCTTCACCTGTGCTCCCAGGGCTGACTGGGTCCTTTCCCCAAGTGCTCAACAGTTACTGTACACTCATTGCTTATTTTTAAATCAATTTTAAGGGATAGCAGTTTTCTGTCTTACTGTTCTATAACCAACAAGTATTTGCGTTACAGATTGTTTTCCCCAGCTACCTTAAGTTATATTCTCTTTGGTTTTGATACCTTTTTTTTTGAAAACTCTTCAGTTGAGTAGAGAGAGCACCTGGTACCATCCTCCTGGCATATTTTACACATTTATTTCCTTAGCATTGTCTTTTGGTTTATTCTGTTCTTCATAGGTGACATACAACAAGTTAGGACTTTGAGAATGAAAATGCTTTGGTTTAACTGGTTCCTCAATGTAGCGTAGAACTATCAGGTTAAACAGGAGGTGACTAGATGACAAAAGCCCCTTTGGCTATGAGCATTATGAAAACTTTCTGATGTTAGTCCATTTTTTCCAGGCCATGTTCAGATTAATAGACTACTTTACTTTTTAACAAATGTTTCTTCTTTTCCTTCGGGAAGAATACATGAACAAGAACCTGCAGGATGATTCATTTTAACACTACACTCTGGAAACAAAGAATCTACAGCCTTCAGTATGAAGGTTCTGTTAGTGATGTGACAACTGAACTTGGATAAGGTACATGACAAACTAAAGAAAAGTTAGTATGAGTGGGCTGTGTGACAAATACAAAGTTAATTTCACATCAAAGACTCAAAGAAATTAAGCCCCGAATTCATACAAAAAATGTACTATCAGGTATTTCAATATCTATCTCTCTGAATGACTTGCTTCCACAATTTCCAAAGCATTATGTTATTTTCAGAGTTAGAATGGTAGCAGAGGTAAAACAGTTGTATATAAACTAATTATGTATTTAAATCAATCCTGAAATCATCAATATTATGTTAGTTTTCAGACAGATGCATCACATCCTCATGTATCAAACTTTGGGTTACTATTTCTCCTTCTGTTTGTAAATATCTGTATAGTAACCGTTGAGTCACACCACTGATTGAGCACCTGGGCAAAGGACCCAGTCAGCCCTGGGAGTACAGGTGAAGGCAATTCAGCTGTGTGACCAGAAGGGGTGGAGCCTGAGTGCACCTCTCTAAGAGCTCATTTAAGGGCTGACTGCCCCTAGGGAGGAATCTCTTTCTAGAGATCTGTCCTTGGTGAAGCTTTTCCCTGTAAACCTAGATACGGGTGAGCAATCTTCTTTCCTTCCTTTATAGCACCTTTTTATTGTGCTAGTCCCTCTGTTATCACACCTTTTCTATAGTATTGACCTGTCCAATTGCTACAATGCCACTACATACTGACTGCCCAGGAAATCCATACCTCCTTTCCCATAACTACACTTATGCATTCTTCTAACGTTTCTGAGCTAGTCCTACCTAGTTTCTTCATAATTAACATCAACGGTGTTTCAATTATGCTGCTGTCAAATTTCCAGCATTAATTAAAAAAAAAAAAAAAAACAAAAAAACTTAAATACGGATTTAATCATTATCCATGCATTCCATAGCAAGCTGTTCCTTCCCATTTATTTCATGATGAAAAACCTCTGCATGTATCTCAGAAAAATGAGGCCTGTTTTACTGACTCTAAAACCTGTTTAAACCTTGTGCCATGAAGCAAGAGAAAGCTTTCAATGTCACTTTTTTATTACTGGTCAACACATGACTAAGCTGTATGTTTACAGTGATAATAGGTGTAATATAAATATTTACATGGATTATATAGCTAGCAGTAAGGCGTAAGCAGCCTTAACTGAATGCGTCACTGCTGTGCTAACTGTACGTGGGACATGAAAATGCTATTTTTATTTTTTATTTTCTTTCAAAGTATTGAATTCTCTTCTTAATCAGCTCAGGTGTATATAGGAAACAGAACCTATACTGTTAATAGCTGCTTAATTAGACAGTGAAATTGTTGTACGTGTTGTACTTTTTAGGTGCCGGCTCTTCAGCCTAGCTAAATTGCTCTTCTTACTCAAAAATGTCTTTCAGGGCATCTTAAGAAAAACTGGGTGATCTCACGTATAGGAAATCTATGAGCATGGCTAAATAAATCAATGTAATCATGTTTTAAAACTAACCATACAAAAGTTGTGGAGTGTAAAACAGTATTTTCTATTTTTTTAATAAGAAAAACAACTTTCAGACAAAAAGGTGGAAGAAATCCATGAGGTAAATAATAGCATGAGATCAGAGAAAGAGAGAAACAGGCTATTTATGTAAGTAAAAAGCATAAGTTCTGTGAGTTTTTTAGTAAAGTTTTTGAAAATGTGGAGGGGGGAAAAAAAAAGCTTAATGCAGTATTGTAATCCTGCACAAAGTACAAGAACACACACAGCCCGTGAGTCGCAGCACCTGAATGCATCATTCACTTTAGCCTACAATTGTTCCTGTGACTCCTATTATTTGGGTTTTATAAAAAGTATAAGACAGAAAATATACGATTGAACAGGTTAACACAGGATGTTAAGAATGTAGGGCTTCCAAGTCCCAGAAAGCTATGACCTCAAGTCTCGTACATCCAGTAATAAGATCTGAGCCTACACTCAGGCAGTAAATACTGCGTGGTCAAGAATACAAACTGGAGTTATAGCTGCATGAAACTAGAGTAGGCTATTACAGAAAATGGTGCCAATCATAGAAAACCTGGTGTATGTTAGAAAATCTATCGTTCTGGCATTCCTAACTCCCACATCCTGTGATTTCTATGAATTATGACGATTAGCATTAATTGAGGTAACAGATCTCAATGTGCCAAAACTGAAGAGCTTAGCATAAGGTGTCTGGATGGCGGCACTGGACGTGCCCTCCTCTTTTGGCTTCTGCTCACTCCTGGAAGAGAGCAGAATGCTGCAGTTGCTTGTTTTGGCACGGCCTGCTCCTTTAACTCCATCCCCACCCTGTTTCTAGGAATTCAGCCCCTTTCACGCCTGCCAGCCTGCTGAGCTGTGCGCTGTTTTTGGAAGGGCCGATTACAATTTGCACGTAAATTCAGTGACGTACTCGTGTGAATGGCCAACGTGTTCTATGAAACCTGCCGCAGAGCTGACAGCAAAGCAGGGCCGTTTACAAGTAGCTTTGGCTACGGTCTTGGTATGACTCACTTCTCGTACTTGTGCCACCGGCCCGCCAGCCGCCGTGACAACCTCCTTCGCGGTGCCCGTTTCGCTCGGCGGTTCCCGCTGAGAGCGCGGCCGGCGGGAACGGTGCTTAACGCAGCGACTCGCACGGCGCACCGCTTCGACCGCTGTGTTCTTCTCAGAATCCCTAGCGCCTGACTAAAAAGCTGAAGGAGCCGAACTGTTACACTCACATAACTCATTACGGGCCGTCGCGTCGCCGCGCCTCAGCCCATCCGCGCTCTTTCGGCTCTACGTTAAGGGCAGCGCACAGAGCACGGCCGCGCTTTCCCGCCGCGGGGCGGAGCCGCTCTCGCGCGTGCGCGGCTGAGGGGAGCGCGGCGGGCGGGACTCGAATCCCCGGCCTGGAGGCCGCGTCACGTGGTGCGGCGCCGGGGTCGGGGCCGCCGCTGCGCAGAGAACGTGAGTGCTGGGGCGGGGCGGCACGGGGGGAGGGGGCGCCCGCGCCGCCGTCTGGTGGCGGACGAATCCCGCCGCCCCCCCGCGCACTGCGGGTCTCGGCCGCTCGCAGGAGGGGCGGCGCGGCGCGGCGCGGCGCGGCGCTGCGCTGCGCTGCTTCCCAGCCGCCTTCTCGCTCTTCCTCCTCCAGCCCCGAGGAGCCGTCGGCGTTTGCGCCCCGCACGCCCGGCCGTGCTTGGCAGCGTCGGCTCCTTTCCCCTCCCGGCCCGGCGGGTTCCCCCTGCGGCCGGGGCGGCCGCCGCGCGCTGCCTCACCCGCTGTTGGCGGGCAGCGAAGCGAGTTCCGGCCTCTGCGTTCTACTCCGCAGGGGCTCCTCCTCGGTGGGCTTTTGTTCAGGGCAGCGCTGCGGCCGTGTCAGCCCTGATAGCGCTTATCGGCGGCACGCAGCTCCTGCGCTCGTCTTGGCGAAATGTATAGAAATAACGAAATGACTTCTTACTTTTTACCAGAACTGCATCCGCTTTTTTTTTTTTTTTTGTTCCTTAAAGCAGTTAAGAGATGGTTAAGAAAAGTAACGACAGCCTGGATGCTCAGCCCAGAAGGGCTTTCGTGCTGGAGGAGGCGGGGAAATGCTGGTTATTTCATTTTAATTACGTCGAAGAGTTCTTAGGTAAACACGGGAGGATGATCCTCTGCTGTGGTGATGCAGTTGTAGGATTGTACTGGTGTGAGAATTGCAGTCAAGTGCAAACAACGTGCAATCTTAGTGGAAGCAATTAAACGTCTGTGAAATTAAGAATCAAGCTGGGGCCTATTCTGAAATCTACTTTGTTTTGATTTGGAACTATAGATATCCATATATATTTACAGCTGGTGTTCCTTCAGCAGTCCAGTCGCACAGCTGGCAATGTTTACAAAAGCTCACTTCACTTACGTACCTTATGAACGTTTAGATGTATGTTAGCTGTTAGAAGGGTAATTACTTACTACCAGTTAAGAGACAGGATAGTAAAAACATTTATCACATCTTGTATTGCTTTGTTCCACAAAAGTGGAAAGGAACTTAATATATCCATTGTTTCCCCCCACAAGGATATCTTGCTGGTATGTGGTTCTGACTGGCTTGTCACAGAGGTCCAATAAGAGCTGATGTTTAGGAGGTTATCTGCTGATTTGTTTTTCTTCCTCAATCAAAAATGCTTCATCTGTTTGACCACATATGGCATATAAGTTTAGGAATACAAAGAAAATGGTTTCTGTGTTGCTTTTAGTATTTCTATGTGATGAAACCAACAGCTGCACGTGACTGTCACGTGGCTCCTGACTGAATTTGGCACAGATTTTTTCCAGTGAAGGAAAACACCGAGTTCATTAATTTCTAATGAATGTGAATTCTAAGGAGAGATACTAAAAGGTAGCCTTCCATAAAAATCTGTGAAGGTTTCTGCTAGAGTGTCTGCTCTACACTACAATTGTAGCAGAATATCTATTACATGAATTTATATAAGCCAAAACGGCTCTTTTTGATGGTAAGCCTGACTTGAATAATCTGCACCCATGAGAAGAGCGTGTGTGTGTAAATGCTCTTCTCTGTACGTATAAATATACCCACACAAAGGCAATACATAATAGAAATATTAGGTTGTTCCAACTGGGGAGCTGATTTATACTGCACTACAAGAAGTGAAGTGACTTTTGTCTCCAGAGAAGGAAATAGTGGGTCTTATTAATGTACACCTTACCAGTAAATCCTTTTCACCATAGATCAGGCCTTGGTCTTGAGGCACAAGAGCATAGTGCCTCTTCCCACGGTGACTGCCTATGAAAGCGAATGTACAGACAGAAGGATCAGGAAGGAATGATTTCAGTGGTAGACACAGAGTTTTATGCAGTCATTGTATTCAGCGTTTCAAAGCTTCTTGTAGCTGACCTTTTCCTTGCATACATATTAAATAAAAGCAGGATGGTTCACTATGCTTAAGATGTTTGTGCTTTTTCTTGCATTTTGTTTCGTTTTGTTTATTCTGCTTCCTTGGTCCCCTTCAAAGTCTGAGGCCAATGTAAGTGCATTTTGCTGATGCTTCCTTTGAGGAACTCCTTTTGCCTTAAAACCACAGTTTCTGTTCTGTTCTTTGCTTGAATACAAGGCTTTGTACTGAGTTTGTATCTTCATAGATGAATAGTGTGGGTCTGCTGGGCTTTATCTGCAGTCTGAAACAGTTTATGCTCAGGATCTGATGTTTGCTCTTTTCATCCTTTACATGTTTCTAGCGGTGTGGCTTTGGTTTTGTGTTTTGACCTAGCTTCAGTCTGGATCTGTGGGCCGAATGCTCAGGTTTTTCTTTTGGAGTGCATCTCCTTCTCCTGCTTTAGTTTCATCTGAAAAGAGAAGAAAACACTGTGGCCACTCCAGAGAACTGCAGTGACATCAGTGGGAGTGATGGAGAGTTTCACTTCAAAATCACACTCCCAATCTAAAGTGAATTGCTAACCCTGGGGTATCTTCTGTCAGCAGGGTGTTGTATAGTGCTAAGGTTCCTCCGTACAAATGGGTTTTGGAAGGCATGAGGAGAACTAAACAGTGCTAGAGAGAAGGTTGCTGACAGACCTTCCTGGTGGGATGTGCCATGCAGGTAGATGACAGCTGTGCTTACTCTCAGTGGAAATGAGATGCATTTCTCTTGTTAGTTTTTATAAACTAAGATCCGGGCTTACCTCGCAGTGCGGTTCTTGAGGAGCAGGGCGATGGGCTGGGTTTTGTTCACGTCAACATGCATCACAATTTTAGAGTGAACTTTTAGAAGTTTAGAGGGAAATGAGGGTTTAAGGAGAATCTTCAAACTATAGCTGTAGTAGGAAAAGACAGTAATGTTTCATTTGAACTACAATTTACTAAAATATTTACTTATTGGCATGACTTTCCAGTAATCCGAACTCATAATATTTTATGGCTGCCAAGCCAGCCAGAGAGTTTGTCACAGTAAAAATGAAAGCTTATGTGCTTTGCACTTGATTAGTACTGAAACACTAGATTCCGAGGATGTTTAGTTCAGACCTTTTTCTTGAGTAGGTGACAAAAATGCAGACACGTGGCAGCCGAGGAGCAACACAAACGTCCTCTTCAGGTCCCTGCTGGAAATTTGTACATTTTGAAGTGGGTGGCATATTTAAAAAAAAAAATAATAATAATAAAAAAATAAATGTTTCATTGTTTTAAGTCTTGTTAGGCTTCTAGAGAGCAGAGTAGAGGCTGAGAAAGAATGTTCAAACAGCTGAAAGCTCTCTATATTTTAAGTGAATTACATTAACTAATTAAATAACTAATTTGTTTCCTTTCTTTATATATTTGTCCTTTATAATCAGATGTGTGATGTGTTTTTGGCACCCGTTCCTGGTTGCTCCCAATAATAGGAAGGATTTACAGTACCTAGCATTACTGCAGTTGTGGGGTAAAGTCTTCCCACTCTCACATGGTTATGGTGCAGAAATGTGCTGCCTGCAGGTTGTTTTTCCTTGGTGTGTATATGTTAAAAGTATGAAAACTGGAAAATAAAGACTGTCAGAAGAGAGCGAAAGCTTTAAGAAGTGAGAGTATGTACTATTTGGCAATCTGAACAATGTGGTATGGCAAGAAGTTGGGGTTTCCACGTAGCCTGTGTTTAAATTGGGTTGGCTTTTAAATTCTAATAGTTTTTGTCAGCTGTTTTGTGGTGGGGAAAAATATAGCTGTGTCAGTGGCAAAAAAGAAAAGTCAAAGGTTTGGGCTCATGAACGTAAGAATATTTGGAAATGGTGATACCAACATTGTGACCTGACATGTTTTGAATGATGACATTACTTAGATAATCAAAAGTTTCAGTTACTTCTTTGAAATATAATTTTGACATTAAAACAAAAAACAACAACAACAACAACAAAACTGTCAAAGACTAACATTTGATTATCATTTACAACAACCATTTTGTAAGAGGTTTTAGCTCAGCTGTGTAGTTAAATTAGGAGGATTAGAATCTGTTTCTTAAAGGTCCCAGCACAGCTGAGTTCTGTACTTATGGGCCTGGAACAGAGTGGGTTTCTTCTGCTGCTGCACTCTGCCTCAGACCAAACTTAGACCATGGGAAAAATGTAGTGAATTTCCTTTTGTTGTAGCAGATGAGTTTATTGTGTTCTGTTCTGTTGGAGTTGCTTTGAGAATACAAGCATGTTCTTCATCAAGTGCTATGCTGAACATAAATGCAATTTAACAAGAAATCCAGAGATTACAGCATCGTAAATTTGATTTGATCAGTTGTTTAATGCCACTTATTGTCAAGTGTGAACTGCCATAGTGGTATCTGCTGCTTTTGCTGATGTTTAAGGAGAGTCTGGGCTGTAGGTGGACTTTTCTTCGGCTCAGCCCTCTGCAGGTTTTGTTCCTTTTGCTCATGCAAGATCACACAGTTCAGAGGTGATTTCCCTGACTTTTCCATGTGTTTGCTTACTTTGGTGCAGTCCCATCAATTTATTAATGATACTCTGAATACCTAATGAGAACTGCTTGCAGAGAGCAGCTGTCTGTAGAAATGCAGGATTTAGAATCCCAATAGGCATCACATGGAATGTTAAGCTTTGCATTTTGAGCTGTTGTCCTGATGATGAAGGTATCCACTCTGCCATCTCTGTGTCACTTTGTGCTGTATTCTCTCTGTGCAGGTGCCTCCCGCCTCTATGGACCTGCAGAAGTTACTTTGGAGTGCTTTCTCAGCTTGCCATTGTAACCCTGTTTCTAGCTAGATCTACTACTCTATATCTCTTTTTTTTGTCCTACATTTTATCTGTCGTAAATAGAACAGAGAAGAGATGAATATTTTGATGCAGTTTTCTGTTGGTTTTCTTTTTTTTTTGGTATTGTTCTAACATATGCTTTCCTCCTATAACATTTTCCCCACTGCAAGCTTTGAAACTAAAATTTTAATTTTAATCTATAAAAGCAAGAGCCATTTTCAAAGTGCGTGTGTAGAAGCCCTTAGTTGTGTCTCTTACTTGTTGAAACAGCAGCTTGGAATTTTCATTCTCGACTTACTCTGAGTATGTGGAGAAGTTGGGGAAAAAATCCTGAAAGCAATACATGTAGCAAAGATGAGAGGCCTGAGAACCAAGTCTCTATCCAGGTTTCTTTTGTTGCTTTTCAAAGGTTTTCTGCCTGAAAGTTTAATGACTGTAAGTGAATCAGGATATTAGTGAGAAGATGCCTAGAACACTCAGGAATTTTATATAAGAAATAGTCTGTCCAGGGCCATGGGAGGGAGGTTGCAGACTCCTGCTTCTCATTATGCTTGTCTGGATTATCCATAGAAGTCCTTTTTTTTTTTTTTTTTTTCTTAGACCAGATTAAAATTGTCTTTTTTTCTCATTTCAGTTGCTCAGCTTGAAGAATTTGCTTTGTTGTTGTTGTTATTGTTTTAAAAGAGCCTAAAAACATGATAGTATGTGTATTATAATGCATTATATTGTTTTTTTCTTTCAGTGTTTCCAAAACGTGTATGGTGTTGGATTTGAACAAGAATAGAAGTAGAGTGAACTTCACATTTCTTTGAGTAAGAAGCAATAATGCATCGAAGGCAGGGAAGAGTCAATGCTGGACTGCTTTTGCTGCTTTACCAGATTTCTCAAGTTGGACTTCAGAACATTCCTTCTGTTACCCTCGCAGTGCTCGTACTGAATGTTTTTTTCTTCCTGAATCCCGTGAGGCCGCTGCATGAGGCGTGTATCAGTGTGAGGGAAGCTTTCTACAGACAGAATTGGCAGCGTTTACTGCTTTCACCTGTCCACCACGTTGATGACTGGCATTTATATTATAACATGATTTCCATGCTTTGGAAGGGAATAATGTTGGAAAGGAAACTTGGGAGTGTGTGGTTTGCATACATAATTGCAGTATTTTCAGTGCTGACTGGAGTTGTCTATGTGCTGCTGGAACTCATGCTTGTGAAGATTCTGAACGATCCTTCGTATGAAATGAGTTGTGCTGTAGGCTTCTCGGGTAAGTTGGTCCAATTTAAATGCAAAAATAAGTAACTATGGATAATATATGATGTTTGTTGAATGAAGGAAATGGACAGGTGTACATCCAGATGCATCTGTGTACGTTATGTCACTGAAATAATCACTTCTGAAATTTAAAGCATGTACTCCTTGTGTGTTGAGTTCTTGTGAGCAGCAGCCTATGTGCACGTGCTCTGTTCAGGCAGTAGGTTAAAGTAGCTCTGACAGACTTACTGTCTGTAGTTGATCTTCCTAAACCTTCAGCATTCTCAACATGACCTTCAACATATGTAATTTCAGTCAGAGCAAGTGTCATACATGTGGAGCAGATGTTAAAAAAGAAATGAGTATTTTCCTGGCAATAACTGTTTCTTTAAGAGCCAGATTGTATGCATATTTATGACCCATTCATTTTTCATCTCGTAAGAGTTTTAGAATGCCTGAATTTATTTCCTTATTTTGCAACTGGATGAAATGGACCAGGCTCTTTTTCCCATAGCAGGAACCTGACAGTACAGCAGACCTTTCAATAGGTAGTTACACCTCAAAAATAATAATAAAAATTGAAGCTATACATAGAATATTCTGGTGAGCCAAGGGAGGATTGGATAGAGAAAACTCCTCAACTGTGTGCTGCTATCAAATATTTCTGCTCTCAAGTAAATGTATAGTTTCTGAATAAGGTCTGTCAGCAGCAATAAATGTAAGCATGAGGTGTTCGAAGGAACATTTGTCTGTGTTATGCTAAAATAAGAATACTTACCTCACTGGACAGAAAAAGGAGTTTTGCTGTCTTGTGTTCTTCATGATGTTAGAAGAGGGGGAAACCTTTGTCATGTTTTTTAATTTAGTATATCTTGGTTCATGTTCAACTTGACTGTCTTTTCCATACTTAAGTATGCCACTTTCCCAATTTTTTTTTTCAAGTGATTGCATTTTCTCCTGAGAATTTCATAACCTTTCTTGGATGTTCTGATAAATAATGCAAATTCATTCTGTCATATTGGCTTTTTATTTGCATGATAAAACAGTTGCAATCAATTAGAAATAAATTATTGTGATTAAAGGCGGTTTATCTTTTTTTTTTTTTTTTTGCAGAAACAAGTGATTCTGGAGTATATGTAAGATGATTTTTCCATTAATTCAGAATTTTTGAGCGTATTGCTGAGCTTCACACATGCATTTGTCTTGTCAGTGGTGGCTTTTCTCAGCTCAGTGAATGTTTTGAGTTTGTTAAGTTTGTCCATTATTATGACTGGAGCTCCCATTTTCAAATTGTTGTACTTTGAACAGCTACAATAAATAGCTGTTTTAAATTTAAAAAGGAGCTTTGAATTGGCTACATTACAGAAATATGTAATTTCAATCCTTAAGTGACTGAAAAGTATCCCTGAAAAACAACAAAACCAAAAATAACCATTGTTCTGACATGCAACAATATTGCTTTCTGGTGCTGTGAAACTGCATGATGTGATATTCCGGTTTTAATAGCTGTCATTTCAGCAGTTAAGTCATAATAATTATTAATTTCTTTATTATCTGGACACAAATGTTTCTCTCCTGATGTTATTTATTCTTGTTTGCAGGAGTCTTGTTTGCTCTGAAAGTTCTTAACAACCATTACAACCCAGGAAGAGTTAGCAGTGTCCTTGGATTGCAGATATCCAGCAAGTATGCTTGTTGGGCGGAGCTGGTGGCAATTCATTTCATTTCCCCTGGGTAAGTTCATGTAGTACTTCAAAGTTGGTAGATGAGATTTGGGTTACCTGAAGTAGTTTGAAATGTCTATGAGGGAGGTGTAAGGAGCGTGAGCAGTACCCAAACTGTGTTGGGGCTACTGTTTGGTACTGAGGCTTTTTCCTTAACACCACTGTCAAAATGAAGAACTGGAGTATTGTGTCTCAAAAGTATGGCAAAGTTTTGGAATGAAGATGTGAAGTTCGTGGGCACTGGGAAGGGATATTCACTTTATGCGAAATAGCTGAACCTGGGATAGTGTTCTGCTGCTTTGCTTTTTATTTTTCTCCTGGTACCTTCTGTCAATTTCTTCTAGGCACTGCTCTAGTTTACCATTAAACTGTCATCCAGTATTTTATTTGCTTTTTCTCTGTTTTTTTTGTTTTTTTGTTTTAAATCTAAGGTTATCTGGATAAAATTCGTAGTTCACTGTCCTGCAGTCTTGCTGATTGCCTCCCTTAGTTTTCCTTTGTGCTCAGCTATGCCAGCACAATTTTTCCTTTGTCTGCAGTTAATTTCTGGAGTTGTAGTTGCAAATCATCTATTCTCTTACATAATATTTTATAATTTATAACTGTCAATGGTATTGGAGAATGTATGTGAAAGAAACCCACAAAATTTACTAACTGCCAAATTGCAGTTCATAAACAATTTGCTGCTTTTCAGAAAGATTAAAGAGAGGAACAAGACTGACATACTAATCATCAGATGCTATGATGTGGCAGGTAGAACGTTTCCCAGACCAGAATGAAAATTCAAATTCTACTTTTTTTAAGCAGTATTTATACTGCTTTATCTTTTACTGCCTGACTGACTGAAACAAGGAATCTCAAGTTTAAAAGACAAAAGAACAGCGGAGCTGTTTTTTTGTTTTTTCAAATGTGATTTGAATAGTCAGCTAAGAGATCACTTGCATGATATTAAACCTCAGAAGTTTTGGTGTATTCATTTTGTTCTTCTGATAAACAAAATGTTCTTTTAGCAATAGATAGTTTTTACTTGATACATTAATAGTAAAAAATGTTATTTAAAGAACAGTGGAAAAAAAAAGTGAAAATTATCTGAAGTGAAACCATGAGCATATCACATACCCAACTGGTGGAAGAAGAATCATGAGTTTAGTGGTTGGATGCAGTTGGGTTTTTAATTTTTTTTCCCAGTTGTGTTACTGCAGATGTATTCTGGAGGTAGAAAGTAAATATAAGGTATAGAAATAATGTTAAAAATGTCTTCATAATTTGCATAGAAGCTTAGGCTGCTGCCTTGTCTTAGGTATCAGAATTGAATGTAATTAGGGGTTGCTTAGACAATTTCACAGCACTTACATATTAACAGAGGCCACAGAAAGCAAGGAGCAGGCTACAGAAATTAATGTCTCAGAACATAATATGTTTAATTAGTAACTGGCAAGTGCCTTGAAATGAACCACAGTAATTGGCTCTCGGGGCAGTACTGCTACATCCTCTTCTGCATGCTCAAGGCATGTTACAATTTTTGAGGTGCCTGATTAAATGGTGTTCTTTTGTAGATCAGGGTGTGACATTTTGTTCTGAATAATAAGAGGTCAGTAGGGGCAGGGTTCTGTCCCATCAGACACAAGGTGTGTTTGTGCAGTCTTTAGTGGAATGATATATCACAGGGTCATCCATAACCAATGAAGTATTGAGAATTAATACAGAGCCTGTTGAAAACTATTTTTTCCTTCCAGGTCTGTGACAGCTATTGTAGTTCAGAAAATATACATTTCTTAGTTAAAAATTTACTAAATTAGTTCTAACCTTTAGTTCTGTTCTACATTTCTGTTAGTAATTGTTTCTAAATAAATGTTGGACTGAGCCAATTTAATAGACTTATTTTTGGCAAGTTAAGGTGCTCGTTAGAGTTAATACAAAAAAAAAAAAAAAGAGAGATGACCTTGCAAACTGGGAACCAGCCCAGCTGGAGAACAGCAGCACAGGAGTGAATCTACATTCTGTCACAGAGATGCAGATCTCTGTAATACACATTCATAGCTGACAATTGAAAACAAAATCGCAGCATACAACTATGAGTATTAGTTGCTTCCTTTCTCATGGGGTCAAGGATCTGCAGGAACACAGCTTCAAAGCAAATCACAGTCAGAAGAGGTCAACATAATACAATTGTTGAGCTCTCCATTAAAAGGAAACAAATAAAATCCTTGTATATTTGAAAATACTGGAATATATTTTGACAAATTTTGTTTGAAATTTTATTTTTTTTCTTCCACTTTCACCTCTCTGTTTTAACTCTGGTGCAGCCTCTAGCATGACTACAAATATTTTGCTTTGTTCTGTTATTTTTCACCACAAGAGATCTTTTCTTATGTTCCTATTTTCTTATCTAGTCTGCTTCTTTAATTGTGGATGTGTTTAATGCTTAAGGATATCACTGAGTCATTGCTGGTTATTGATTGGGTTTACTGTTGATCTGTGTTGCTGATGAGAATGTTCCTCATGAACAAGAGAGCATGGAAGAGAAACAAACAAAACCGCACATGCACCCAAAAAAGCACAAGAAATTTGACAGGGATGACATTAGTGGTGAAAACCATGCTCTAACATCTTGTTTTGTCAATTTTTTACTTTTCTCTGTATTACATAGTTAGTAACAAATTTCCACTTTCCAGTCAAAGATGAAGTGCTATTGTCCTGCACACGAGTGTGTAAAACAAGTTAGCTTTTACTTATTCAATGAGTTTGATCTAATCTGCATTCGGGTAGTTTCATTAGCACTGGAAAATTGACTGTGTGCCTTTCTTTCTAAGCAAGTGTCTTAGTTTCATCTGGTATAGAATCGTTTACTTCAGTGTCTGATATGATACTCTGTTTTTGGTTCTAGGAGAAAAATGTGCTGCTAACATAGTCATGTTTATAGTTGCCTGCTAAGCCAAGGCCATTTGCAGTGAAGGGCCCAAGGAGCTGGGAGGGAATGGAATTAGGACAGCTGTCTTGAGCTGACCAAAGGGATATTCCATACCATATGACATCAAGCAGAAGGAGTTTTGAAGGAGGTGAGAGTTCATCTCTCACTCTCTTCAGCTGCTCAGGGGTTTAGCTGGGGATCAGTCAGGGGATGGTGAGCAATTACTTGTGCATCACTTGTTGTATGCTTTCAGATGTACATATATAGCCATAACTACTTTCCTTTTCCTTTTCTCTTCCACAGTGAATAGTTTTATCTCAGCTCATGAGTTCTACTTTGTTTTTCCCTTCTTCTCTTCCCCATCCCACTGGGAAGGGGAGGAGTGAGTGAACACCTGTAAGGTGCTGAGCCATTCACTGGGTTAAATCACTACAGCAAGATTAAATTTTGAAGCAGAGGCTGTAAACTCATGTGCATGTGACTACATGCTTGAGTTAATTTTGAAATAAATTGTTATTATAAATAATAAGGTTCATCCCATTATCTGAAAATATCCATTATTTTTTTTCAAAATAAAGTTGGTCTGGATTTTTGTAGTGTGTCCCATTATTTATTTCTTTGTTGAGTGAACGTATACTTCTTAGTGTAGCATCAGAGTAGGAGATGCATGAAAATAAGTTCTTGTCACAGAAGGCTGCAGCAGTGGCTAAGGACATGCCTTTGATGCTAAATAAGTGGCTTTATTCTGTGCATGAATGATAATTCCAACCAGTCTTTCAGGTTTGCTGTTAGGAGGAAATTACAGACGTGAAGTGATACAGGCTTCCTTGTTCTTCTTTCGTGTGCTCTGTCAGGTGAGTGATGCCACAGAGTGGAAACTAGTCAGGATAAATGTGCCAGCAGTGAGGAGATAACTTGGATTCTGCATGAGAATACTGGGACAGTATTCATTTTAAAAGATAATATTGTGAGAGGCTTGTAAGCATTGTGTCAGAACTGGATAGCTGAAGAGTAAATGTTGTCATATGATTTTCATTTTAATGACACTGATTTTCATGGCAACTACACAGACAAATGAAGAAGTATAATTAATTCTGTTTGGAAGATTTTTCTTGAGTAAAGTGCACATCAACTTGATGGCAAATTTCTTCAGGAAATGGCATTTAGACATATTGCATAATCATCATTAGTATGAAGTGAATGGTTTAAATAGTATCTCTGGGGAGATCCACATTTTCAAACAAAAATTACATGAGGCTTCATTTGAATTTCTTTGTATCAAAGAGAATATTAGTTAATATTGATAAAAGCTTGTTGACATTTAGAGGGAAAAAAATGTGTTTTAAAAAGCCAAGAGCCCCATTTTTATTTCCATTCAAATTTCAGTTTGTATTTATACAAAGTGAAGTTGTAACACAAAATAAATCTGTCAGTTTTTCTGAACCAGAAGGAGAAAAGACAATAGTTTATCTTGTTCCTGCAATCAGGAGAATATTTTTGTCTAACAGTATAATAAGTCAACTTATAAAAATAGACATTGAAGTCAACAATATTCCCATGTTCTTGGGAATAATGTAAAAATACTCTTTTGGAATCATATGACAGCAGAGGTTGCTTTATGGCTGATAATATATCCAAAATTATATTCGTTATTCAAAAAGTAGAACATAGGAGTACCCTCAATTTTCTGAATTTGATATGAGAGCAGTGGAATTTATAATACAAGTGAAAGGAGTGTGTTTGGAGAAGACCTTCCTACAACTTTTGTGCTTTTAATAAATTGCATTTGTGTCTTTCAGCCAAAATGGCATTTAATTCTACAATGTGCCTATAGTTCTGCCATGTGAAAACAGTTACAATTTTGTCATTAATTTCAATGTCAGCAGATAAAACTTGTAGAAAGAAGAAATATATTATGCAAATTTCTTAAAAAGGCAATCTACTTGTAGTGGAAATGCTGAGTCAAAGCTTGAAGCAGTGATTGAGCACCTGGTGGGCAGGCAGAGCCAACCCAGGGGAGCTCAGGTGCATGCAATGTACCAGAGTGATTGGAAGGGGAGGAGCCAGAATCCACCCCTTCCCAGACCTCATTTAAGAGTTGGCAGTGGGGGCAAGAAGGTCTTGCTGGAGATCCCTGCTAACCTGAGGTCTTCTAAAAGTAAGCAGCTTTTCTTCCTTTGTTTCTGTGTCGATGGCTGCTGCGTTTGTTTCCTGTTAGCGTTTTGTTTCCTGTTGTTGTTCTTTTTGCTCAGTCTGCAGAAACTGAATTTCCATCTGAGTAGGTTTTGTTTTACTTTCATACAGTGCTTCTGTATATTTCCAGTAGAATACTTGTCTTTCCTGTAGTGGCCCATTGATCTGTGTTTTACCATCTGACTCACTGTGTGTGTTGGGCTCTGTCCTGAAGCTCTCTTACCAGCTGGTCCCTTCCAGTTTGTACAGGCACTGATTTCTGTGATGCATCCGGAACTCCCTACTTGTCTTTACTGTATCCTATCCTGTCTTTTTCTGTCACTGTGTCTGGGTTGCTTTAAGTTGTAATGCTGTCTCTTGTAACTCTTGCAGCCTCTCTCAGCTTGTTGTTATTCACAAATAATATTTGATACTGAAAATATGGAAATCCATTCAATTCATCTCCTTAGTTTGGTAACAAATCACTAATAAGCATTAAGCCAGGTTTTCTATTTGGTTGTGTATCTGCTTAGTGTAGTTCATACTGCTCAGGGTTTTAAACCTTCTTTGAGAAATGCTGTGAAGCAGTGCTGTGTTCCTACAACATGCCATCTGCTGTTTCTCATTCTGGGGAGGCCTTTTACCTCCTTGATAAAGGAGGAACTTGGTTAATTTGTGGTATTTCTTTGTGACCATTTTCTGCTTTTGATGTTCCTACCTACTTGAGTATAGAAAATCTTTACCTGGTGTATTAGCTTCTGCAGATTCACAGTAGAGCCTATTTAAACTCTTTCAGTGAACTCCTAAGTTGAGTGCAGAGAATTGGTTTGTAAACTTATCGAAACACAATATTCATGGAGATACTTGGAGCAAATCTCTGGATTTACCCCATACGTAATGCTTCTGTGTTGAAGACATCAGTCTTTTCATTCTATATACAAATGGGCAATGAACGTATTTTTAAAGTAAACAGGTATGTTTAGGAAATAATATGGATTTCAGTTTTTTACTTGCTGCTCTTTTAATTTTGAATGCACTGTAGTACAAACATTTCAGAACAGGTCTGCATTTAGGGATTGTAGAATAATATGAGTTGGGAGGGACCCTTAATGGCCATCTAGTGCACCCCCCTCCAATGACTGGGGATACCTACGCCTCTATCAGGTGCTCCTGAGCCTGGTGTGACCTGGCCTTGGACATCTCCAGGGATGGGACTTCCATTTCATAGTAGGATTGAACTGATAGTACAGTGAAAAAGTGCTGTACTTATGCTTTCATTTGAAACCGTAGTGAGTTTTGGTAGCTCCTACTAGGATGTTTCAATGTAATTTGATGGATCTAAGTTTTACAGATTAAAATGAGTTTTCTGCCTTAGGAAGACTTCACTTTAAATGCTTGTAGGGAATCAATATTCTGTCCTTTACACAAGCAATTGAAGTGATCTCTCCTGTTAGCTTCCAGCTTCTTCAAGATATGTTGCATACTTGTCTGTAAGCGTATACACACTGATGTTAGGATATTTCTAAGGAAAGAAAGAAAACACTGCACTTCAGTTCAGATTGATATGTTGCTCAGTTCAATTTGATCATGTACAATGTTTTTTTAGAAATCATGAAATGAGGAAATTAATTTTGGTAAGGATTTCTGTAAGTTGGAATTCTATAAACTGCACATCTGGGTTTAAAAGAATAATTAACACTCATTAAAAAATAGATTGATAGAAGTCAGAGCAGAAATTAATAAGCATTTGCATTACCCTATGTCATTGTCACTTTTCTATGCTTGGTCACATAAGGACTTCCTGGATTACGATGCCTGCACTTCAGGTTTCCTACCCAAGAAGCCTGTCTTTCTATCGCTCATGAGATTTTTTTTTTTTCCCATAGGACTTCTTTTGCTGGCCATCTGGCAGGGATTCTTGTTGGACTGATGTACACAATGGGTCCTCTGAAAAAGATCATGAAAGCCTGTGCAGGTAGCCTGTTTTGGTTTGTAAAATCTGCATGAGACATTGGTGCTCTGAAAAATCAGTACATCTTGTGTACGATTGCAGATGTCTGTGCAGTTCCAGCAGATTTTTAGGGAACTAAAAATAGAGTGAAGAAGAGCAGAAGAAAAGCTCACCTTCTTGTTTTACTCATTCTTATCCATATTAAAGGTGTCTTTCAGGTGTAATGTTTTTGCTGCAAGGAATACATTTTTACCATTCTTTTAAAACTATGTATTTGAGGTAAAATGTTCCATGTAAGATGTCATTCTAAATGGAGTGCAAAGCAATAGAGATATGCCAGAACACAGTATATTTCTGTGTTGGTTTTCTGTTGCTTGTATTGCTTCATGTGAAAATCTTCAAATTTAGAAAAAGTTGAGGGATGCTTGAGAAAGTGTTACAAGGTTCCTTGAGCTTTGTGATACTGAATTGATACAGGTTTTTATGCTGTGGAAACAGTTTTATGAGGTGGTAACTTTCAATGTATTTATATACTAACATCTATTTTTAAATACAGCTGTGCTGTTATGTGAGCATGCCTTTAAACTTCAGTTTTACTTAGAAGTCTACCTGTTGCAACCGTGTGCTAGGCTTGGTTGTCACAGTACCTGTCTGTTACCTCATAGGTAGGGTAACTTAAGACTTTATTCTAATTGTATATGTGTTATTCTTCTTTCTAGGTGGCTTTTCTTCATTCACAGACCCTGATAGGCCAAGGAACTACTACTCAGGTTATTCAGGTAAATGTTCTCATCCGCTTACCTAAGAACTTATTTTGGTTTTACAAATACGAGTGTAATTTTTGCTAGTAATAGAAAACATGCAGAAGAGCTGACCAAATGGAAAATTTTGCCCTTGAGTATTTCAAAAGTATTTGATTTGTAATTCCTAATAACCAAATATCCCAGTGTATTTTCCTTACAAATAACGGCAAGGGTAGTTGTAACTTAGATGTTTATTTATCCAGGATTTTTATTAATCCAGTTCTCAAATTAAAGATATAATGTTTGACCTAAAGACCAATAAAAAATAAAATAAATTGTTCAATAAAATAAGATGTAGACATAGGAGATGTATGGTGCATGAGCTACCTGCTTCCAGCTGGCATTCTCAGACCAGCTATGAATGTTCACCTAGGTACAGTTTCTGTTCATCTGCATTACTCTGTGTTCTGTGTTAATAGTGACCAAACCTTCCTTCAGTACACCAGTATAGCAGCATGTGTGGAAAATCAAATGGTTGATATTGGAAAAGACAATTTAATTTGCTAATGAAGATAAGAACTTGCACTTGACATTTAAATTCTCTAATCTGTTGCAGCCATCGTACAGACACCAGATGCTCAGGGTGGGGGTTAAAGACAAACTTTGTGAAACAGATCTTGAACTGTTCTGTGCTTCTTTTCCAGCTCTTCCTAACCAGCAACAGTATTTCACGTAGTATAGAATGACACAGGGGACTACATAGCACCTGAGAAGAAGTTGTAGGGCACTGGCAAAAAGGAAGTCTGGTTCTTGTTGTATGGCTTGAGCAGTCCCCATAGCAACCAAAGTGGTGCTGCTTTGAGTTGGTGTTCATGGAAGGGAACTGAAGGAGTGAGGTTAATATGAATTATCCCATCTTCCAAGCTTGGCTTTAGATATAACAATTTTTTTTAGTAAATTCTCTTCTGTAAACTGAATTATAAAATAAGCATATTTATATATATATATTTTTTTCCCTATGTATATTCTTCATAATTATCTTTCATCCTACTTACAGGAGTCTTCAAGGAAGAGTTCACCTTTTGCTTGTTGTATGATATAGTAATACATTTGGCCATATAGTAATACACTCTCTGTAGTGTTGCAGGTTCACCATATAAATACAGTACAACCTTATTTTTTTTTTGTATTGCTGAGTTATTGCTGCCCAACTTTAAATATTAATTGAAATAAAAAATGGATAATCAGAATGGATTTATGAAACAGTACAAAGAAAGAGCTTTAGAAGGAAAAAAAATATTTCAGCTGTAATTTTAACACAGTAATTGGTGACTGAATTAGGTTTACTCCAAAGACAGTTCATGAATAAAATATTAGGATGCTTATTGGGATTAATAGGAACACCTTGAACATGTCGATGTTACTCAATTGTTTCTCATCATAAAACAGAAGATTACAGCTTTGTCAGCACTTACAATTCGAGGACAGTGTACAGTATCACATTTACCATATTTTACGGTCAACTTAAAAGACAGCATCCTTCTTTTATCAGATAAAACCAGGATTTTTATAGTCTTCATGCAGGCAGTTTTGAAGCCTCCAGAAAATAAATTTGTAGCTGAGAAGACATTCATTCAGATTAACATAATGTAGAGGGGAATAAGAGGAATGCATAAAGATTGCATCCAAAATGTGTGTCTGTGTCAACTAAGTGGTATCTTGCAGTTGGTTTTATGTTTTTCTGCAGAATTGTCTCTTAAATCTAGCCACTGTGACTGAAAAGCTTTTCAAGCTTGTTAAAAATGACTAATTTATAGAGATTTAAAAATACATGTTCATCATTTTCTAAGCGGAGGAATAGCAGATAATTGAAAAATGGCAGAAGTTCAGGTTGCAGGAGGACAACACCAAATCTTTGCTGCACTTTTATGAAAATTTATCCCAATGTCAGTTGTTGTTGTCTGTTCCCAAAAGAGCAGGATTGCATTTTTATGTCCACCTATATTGTGTGTATGCTCATATAAAACCATGTGCACACACGCGTATGAAATCAATTTCATCTCAGTTTGTAGTCTGTGCTTGTTAAGTCTTCCTTATAGAAATTCCACGTGGAATCTGTAACTAGCGAGGTAATATGTGACTATTACTGAAGCTAATTATCTGAAGATAAAAAGAGCTGGCATGCTGTACTTGTTTAATGCAGAAATATTTCCATTATTTCTTTCATTTTGTGCTTTGGTTCTTCCAAATCTAATGTCTGGTTGTCTGGAAGAGAAGTGAAATTATCCGAAGTTTTATATTCTGAAAATACATTTGGAAAACAAATTGCTCATTAGTTTTTCTCAGGTTGGGTTTTCTGTGTTCAGGCAGGATTAGGTTCTGTTAAATCAAGCCTCATTCCATTCTTCAGCCAGGTTGTTTTCTTCTCTTTTAAATCGCACGTTTGGATGGATGATGATTTTTCCATGCTTGTTTTTGACTGACTTTGTTCATGGACGGAAATGTTTGGTACAGGAAAATACAGTGGTTGCAGATGAGATCTGCAGGCTGTGTTGGCTTTTTTTAGAGCAGGCATAGCACAGTACTGTACATATTCCCACAAAAGAAATGCAGAATTCTTTAGATGTGTTCTAGGTTCAAATGTGATTTGCACTTAGGATGACACGTTGTTTATGGGGTGAGGTGAGGCACACATGGAAAAGCCTGAAGCCCATGTGGTTGTCTTGTTGCTGTTGGGTGATTGAAGGCCCAGGACTGGAAGTTACGTGCTGGGGGGAGCTGATGAAAACTATTTCCATTTATTTGAAATGTGAAATAATGGTAATGCTATGACATCTGTAACAATGCTGCAAAGCTGGAGATCCTTGCTATATCTTCAGTGTTACTGTTTTTCTCACCCCGCTTCTCCTGACTCCTAATCATATTTTTTTCTTTTCCAAATTAAACTGATTTGTGGAAGAAAGACAATGTAAAGGTAACATCTGCTTTCACTCCTCTCCCACTGTGTAGCAGCTGATTATTTTCTTTGGTTTCACTTTACAGAGTATTACAGATATCCAGACGATCAATACAGAACACCAAGGAACTATTATGATTATACAGGTGGGCTCAGTGAAGAGGAACAGCTTGAAAGGGCAGTGCTAAACAGTCTGAATGAAAGAAGTAAGAATTTCATTACATGTCATCTTTCAGATCATGGTTTGTGTTGAGATGGGAGGAATAGGAAGGCTGTGTTGTCCAAATCCTGAACGTAAATAATGAACATCTCTTCAGAAATGACCAGATGTTTCCAGGTAGAATTTTCAGAGAACAAACGTGAGGATGCAGCGTCATTCTCACATAACTGCGTGTGTTAGTAATTACGTATTGTTAATTGCTGCTACTACAGGAAAAGAAATGCTTTTATGACAAACAAACCTTTAAATAAACAAAGTTGCTGTGCCAAAGACAAACAAACCACCTCTCATTCTCAACTGTAATATGAAGCAGTATAACAGAGGAACATTGATGTTGCTGATATTTAAACTTCCTGCTGATTGTTTTATATATGTATTGGAGGAGTAGTGTAACAATTTCTTGATGTTGTTCTCTTTCACTGTGAAGAAAGTTTATACGAGAGCTAGCTGAAAGATGGGGGGAAAAGTAATTTAGGAATAAAAATGCTGTTTGTTTTAATTGCAATTTATCAGTTGAATTAATATAGAATATATTAATTGAGATATATTTTACTTTTGTTATAATTCAAATAAGTCAAGAGGGAAAGAAAAACCATCTTGGGATATACTTCTCAGCTTCTGAAAACAGACGTGAAGGAAATATGCGTAGTAGGCTAACAATACATTATTGGAGCATCGTGTGTAAAATTTACATCAGTTGTGCTCATAAAAAGACTTCTTTATGGCTGTTAGAAATTTCAGGCAAAATAGGAAAATGAATAGCTTCACAAATCATCATCACTAACTCACAACTGCTGTGATGCTATTTGTTATGAAGAACATCACTTATCTACAACATTTTCAACAAGGCAGCAGACAAGGCAACATTGTGCTATGAAAAGGCTTTTTCAGCTTGGATATTTGGTTAACTTCTTTAAGTAAAGGCAGCTTTTTGCTTTGTTGCATCAGTTGTGGGAAGTCAGCTTGGAGACAGAAGTTCAGTCTTGGAGGAATAGTAGTAATGAAAGTATTTTTTTTCTAGTTGTCTTTGCTTTTGTGTGCTCACCTTTGTTCTCTCATGGAATTTGCTCCTAACTGCCCGTAAATACTGTAAAACCAGGAACTTGAAAAAACAGGAAAACCCACTCTGACTTCTGCAGCAAAATCGTCACTGATACGGTTAGAAATTACAGTAATCTGAGCAGTTCCCTTAAAACCACACTGCACTGAAAATCTTGGTACTTGGTGAGGGGTTTATCTTTCAAGGAAATGAATAAAATAGCATCTGGTTCATCTGTTCTGTCAGCACAAGTCGATATGTTTGATATCATTGTTGTCTTAGGAATTTTAAAAATAAAACACAAAATAATATCAGTATTTTGTCCTACATAAATATAAGTTTTTGGGAAGGAATATGCCTAAAATAAGCTTTATTAGAAGGGACACTTTTTCCTGGTGTTTTAGATGATGTTTTACAACATTTTTTAACTGATTGAGAAAAATCTTTTAGAAAATTTCAAGATCAGTATTTTGCCATGTGTTATGCTGCAAGAGTATGAGGCATGTTTGTGGTCATTTGGTTTTTTAAACCATCAAGGGAATACACCAGATCTTTTTTTTTTTTTGCTTATTTTTCCAAGCAGTCATTGTACAGAGTCCTGCTCTTACAGGTCCTTTGGTCTGTAACAGCTGAGTGCCTGTGGCTGCTGAGTTTTTGGAGCATAGGCATGTAATGGCTGCGTTGTGACTTGGGGTGAAGGGTGGTTTAGATGCAGCCTTGAAACAATTGGCTCTCATTTTGAAGCCTTAAGTCACACTATAGAAGAAAAAGCTGTAAGTTTTTATTGGAGTCTCAAGTATCCAAAGATGTCAAATTCTGAGCTGACTGTGGAAGGGATTTGCACATAGGAGCTGATATTACAATAAAAGAAAGTGATGATATTTTCACTGCCATAGAATGAAATGATGTAATAACAAGGACAAAATTGATAATATAAATTATTGGACATATTGCATCTCAGTCTTTCATACATCAATGTGGAACACCTGCACCTTTCTTCTGTAGCCTTTAAATTATTTATGTTACTGTAGGTGAGTGTTCTTTCTGTTCGTATTTTGGAGTTCCATGCAGCATTTGGACAAAGATAAGAGGAAATGTATTCTTATTTGGAGGATGCTCTATGAAACCTGAGAAAGAATTAACTTACCATCTCTAGCTAACTGGATAGCTGGTGTGCCAAGTTACAGGTTTAACTACAGTTTGAGACAGCAGCACTTCTGATGTCTGTGGTCATGTTTGTTTTCCGTGCTGGTTAGAGCTTTTGGACCATGCAGATAAGTGGGAACATGTATCATATTGTGTGGTGTTTGCAGTGACGTTCCTACAGATGTTGTTTTCAGTGCTTTTGAGCAGTGTTTTAGCTTTGCATCGCTTTTCCCTACTTGCCGTTTCAGTTTGGAAAATATTTGAGAGCTCAATTTTAAAAATATTTCATAAAACAAGTTACTTGATGTTCATCTTACCTACAGACACAGGTCATATTTCCAAAATAAAGTAATACAGGGTTTGTAATTGATTGTACCTGCACTAGAATGGCACAAAGGGTGAGATGAATTTTTTGTGCTAATGAGCAAATAGAATATTCTTCCATGTCAGTATGAAAAGTAATTAGCTTCAATGAGTACTGCCCTTTCAACAGAAGATGCTTGCGTGACGTTCGCTGTAGCCTGCAATTATATGGATGATGAAACAGGTACTTAACGCAACTAAAAATTACATGAAATAATGTGAAGCAGACACGTAAATGGATGTAAACACAGGTACCAAGACCAAAATTCAGGGTATTCTTCTGATTCATCATCTTTTCCAGCTGTGACATTTAAACCATCATAGTTGCTCTGTAACTTGGCTGAACAAAGGACAGTGGTAATTTTTTTCTTAGTTAGACATATGCCTTTACGAGGGTTTTTAGGCCATAAAATGTATCATTAGATTTGGAATGTAGATGTGTTCTAGCAAATTGCTGTGTTAGTATCCTGCCAGGCCAGTACAGCCATCTGTGGCACAGTCCAGAATGTCCTGTTATTGTCCACAACTGCAGACTAATTTGTATCAAGGTGTTCATCAAGTTCATTCCCAGTAATTTTTTATATAATCCCACCATGCATGAGTTACCTAAGCCCAGCATAAAGGTACTGCATTTCTGCTTGCTCTATAGCTGAGCTGTATGGTTTTGCTGTGGAGCTAGAGTGCATGGCTTTCTGTTCTGGTTTAATCCTCGTATTAGCAGCTGTCTTTAATGTAACCCCAGTATGCCCTATCTCTTCTCTGTTGTTTCCTTTATATTCTGCTTGGAAGAATATCTTGATTGGTGTGGGATGTGGGTTTGCATTTTTGTGGTGGTGGGCGCTGGGTTGTTTTTGTGAGCTAAGCTTCCAAGTTTGTGGTTTTCAGTCTCAAGAATGTTAAGAATCTCTTGCAAATTTGTGTCTCTGCACAAAGGAATTTTCCTCTTAAGTTATTAAACGTGTAGGTGATGGTCTTTGTATTCTGTGGTTAAAGTGAAATGCCTATAAGTATGTGTATGTAGATAGTCCTCTTATGTTACAAAACACATTTCTAGATGTGCGTTTCTTTTATTCTGATTTAAATTAAGAAAGAGTTTGTGGCCCAGCACAGGCTCACCTTAGGTACATCTGCCATGTGGTTATGAAGTATGTAGGCTTGTCAGTTCTCTGAATTTTAGTTTAGAGTTCCTATTTCTGTTTCCTTGAATTGAGATGGGACGTTTTAATAGTACCCTATGAAATGTGCTAAGTCCATTGAAGATTGCAAGAATTATGAAGCAGAAATGCTGTATAATTCCATCTTTCTTCAGAGTTATCTTCCCCATTTGTTACTGCAGGAATGCTAGTCATTGTATTTGACTTGACTGATGGCTTTCTGTAGAAATGTCTTTAAATTATATGCTCAAATGTTCAATGCATGATACCAGACTGAAATAGATTTCAAAATACCCATGCTAAGATTGGTGTCTTGATTCTTTAAGTCCAACTTTTTGTTCTTTAGGTGCTGTTTGGTCTTAGGTGCCCAGCAATGTGTTCTGGATGGAAAGTTCTCCTGCTTCTAACACAGCTTTCTCAGCAGCTTCCTGGAACTGCATCTGTGGTCTGTGTTCCTGACCACCAGTGCTCTGCTGGGGCAGATCTCCAGGAAACTGATTTTGCTCGCTTCTCTCTAATTTGCCCTGGATGCAGTGCTGTGCTAAGGTTACTAATTGCAGTATTTGACATCTGGGGATGACGACACTCGTGGTGCAGCTCATCCTGTGTTCCTTTCATCAAACCTTGATACTGTAGCTGGTATTTCTGGAAATGCTGCCTTGTGTGGCTGACTTCCTTTGGACTTTAGGCAACAAGTTGACAGTGACAGGGTAGTGTCCAGGTTCTGGTTATTGCTACAAAAGATTTGATCATATAGAAATCTCAGTAACTTATCTTTGCACTTAATATATATACTATTTCTGACACAAAGTAGCAATATAGGTCTTCATGCTAAAAAGTATACAGAATACTGCTTTTTTCTCTGGTATATGAGAACGTTTTTGAACTAATGCGACTTTCTTCTGGATTCTTTCCTTCACACAAGTTTTGACTGACAAGGAAAACAGCAAGAAAACATTTTATTAAAGAAATAGTTAAACCTTTGTGGCTAGAAATGTTTTCCTTACATTCATGCTACTTCTGTTACGAAAGCTGGATCTACATATGGAGATAGTCTGTTCTTGGCATTTTGATCCAAGACTCAGTGATACAAATGTGAGCTTTTTTATTGACTTCAGTGGTCTCTGGACTCTTTTTTCTTTATTAACTTTTTTGTAGAGGAAGAAATGTTCCTTCCTTCCACAGTGGGTTTGGCAGGGTCACCTTGCTGGAGAACAGGCCCTTCTGCTGAACAGCTGTGGATGTAATTAGAAGAAGCTGTGTGGGGCTACATAAAAGTGCTTTCTTCCACTCTGGAGAAAGTGGGAGTTGCTGCAGAGTGGCTTCAGTCGTCATTGGTGTTTCAGTCCATCTGTCTGGGATTCTTGTTCTTGGCTCTGGGAAGAGGATATTGTTTAGAATTTCTTTGTTGGGTCTTAGTTATGCATGCAGAAATGCGCTAGAAGAAGAACAGTTTTTTTTCCAAACATGATTTTAAGTATATTAAATTTCTTGAGAACATGAATGAACCTAGTTTACCACTAAAAGCTTCTCCAGACTAAGATCTGTGGATAATCCTAATCTTGGAGTTACCCATTAATCTACTATTTTATTCTTGTTATTTTATCATTGGATTAATTCTACAGATGAGTGTAACTTTGCACTTTGTTGGGACTGTCTCAAAAATGCTTTCAATCTTTTCCTGATGTCTGACTACATAAATAAGTATTTTCTAGTAGTTTTGTGGAAAGCATAAATCTCCTTTTGTCTTGTTGGCCAAAATCCCAGTGATGTCCTTACAGTCCTAAGACTGGTTTGCATCTCTTCTATATTTTTTTTCTATTGAGAGTCTGTACCTTGCATTTAAAAAAAAAAAACAAAAAAAAAAAAAAACAAAAGCACAAGTATCTATATAGGTATATATAGGTATAGATCACATAGGTATCTCTATACTTGTTACATGTATAGTAACTACACAAACATTCCCTGCTGTTCCTGCTGTTGTCAGTGTGCAGCAGCATACAAAACAACTTTCTCTTTGATATTCAATCTTCCTGACGCTTTTGGAAGCTCTTGAAAATCCTGCTGCCTTACCTAAAACTGAGGCCATTACCTCAGAGAGCAGGAGATTTGAGGCAGTATTTCTGTGGTAGGTACAAAAGGTAGAATGAAAACTCTGCATGGTGATTCTTATTTTTCTTCCTTATACCACATTTAATGCAGAGGAGAAAAATGAACACTTCAGACATCTTATGGCTTTTTATTATTATTATACTGACAGGATGTCATGTTTCAAGTTGTCCTTAGATCTGATTTCGTTTAGAGAATAATGTGTAGGTGAACAGTAACCAAATGGCCTCTTGCACTGTCAGCTGGCCCGTTGGGTTTGGCTTTGCTGCTAGAGGCAGCTGCTGCACACCTTGATCAACACCTCCAGAGTTTGTGGGAAATCTGTGTGCTCTCTTGTGGAGTGGTCTGGTTGCTTTGTGTTTGCAGTGTGTGTGGTTGGAGGTTCACATTCACGTATCATTCAACGGATAAATGTTCTTCTGAATAACTAGAAATTGTGATATGGGCTATTCCTTGTCCAGTACAGTAGTGTCCATTGACATGTATTCAGGGAAAATAATTAGCCTGCACTAACTGTGCTTCCTATAAACCTTGCAGTTCCTCAGCAAGTTCTTCCTTTCTTGCACAAATCTCAGTCACAGGAAAACAAAGATAAGGCAGATATAGTGATCCTTAAGCCTTGTGGAAGCATATATTAAGGTGTCAGAGTCATAGACTACCCTGATTCAGAAGGGACCCACAAGGATCCTCAAGTCCAACCCTGGTTCCGCACAGGACCACCCAAACCCTATCTCTGAGAGCAATACAGATTTAGTTAGACTAGTTGCACTTACAGTCATTCTGTTCTATTTTTGGTCCTATAACTGTAAACTTCAGCAACAAAAAAAACTCTCAGAGTAAGAGTATTCTCCTTATGCACAGAAGACAATTCTCATTCACAGTAAAATTAATTTTGAAATATGGTATGCAAGGGTTTAGTGCTGTGCTCTAATTTCTGTGCTATATCCTTTGTTTTGTCTCTCTGCTGTTACTGTGATTTTTTTAAATACTATAAATGCAGTCTTGAAGCCCATTAGTCTTGAAGTTTTTTGCTGATGTGTCAAAAAAAGATTACATTCTCTTGTGCAGTTGTGGCCTAATTACCATTTCTGAACAACGTGGCCTATAAATATTTTGGTTAGGTAAAGTTACTTCATTAATATTTCTGTTGTAATTAAAAGGGGTGGCAGAACTATTTTGGGTAATGGGGTAATTTAGGTATATGCAGTTATATATTTATGTTCCTATTTTAAAACTCACTGAAACATCTTCACTCATCAGCGTGTTGTTTGATGTACAAAAATATCTTCTCAGGAAGGTTTTGAAATACGTTGCTCTTCTTATTTTGGTGTCAGCAGATAAAGGAGTGTTTTGCATCCTTGTTATAAAATCTTGTTCTGTTTCTAGTGGTTATTGGAGCTCTTTATATTTAATGAATTGAGCGGATACTGGGGCACTCTGCCAGAACTTGTCTTAATTTGCAAATGGTATCTGCTTTCTAAAGTAAAACCTGGCCACAGATGCTACATAGAAAAATCCACAACTTCATGAGACTCCTTGGTATTTCATGGACAGTGGCATGATGGAAGATACTTTTTTTTTAATTGAAATGTTTTCATGATGATTTAAAAAAAAAACAAAAATCAGCATTACGGTGCTGTTTTGATGCTGTACAGTGCAGCAATTTGAAGGATTTACAGTCATGACTGTATTACTCTTCATATGTCAAAACTCATAATTTAAGACTGATCAGTCTTAACTTACTGATTATTTTCTATTTAACCCAGGTGTAACATAGCAATTAAAAAAAGAACCAAGAATTGCAATGATTGATCTTATGAAACTTTCATGCACTGACATAAACATCACTACTGAGAATACTGTAACAAATTCAGTGTTTAGTGGTTTACTTGCAGATAAAATAGTATTCCAGTATGTTTCACAATATGAGGCATTCACAAATGTTGGTGTTAAAAGATTTGTTGGGCATTCTTGGGCCTTTTTTCCCCTTTGTACTATTGTGGAAGGGTCTGATGTCTGCTTACCATTTTGCTTCCTGCTTTTCAATGTGGAGTTATGGGGCTTTTTCACTTCAGGAAGAATGTTCATTGGGTGATGGAACATTTCAAGATAATGTCTCTCAGTTTGTGCTCATAGGATACAGTTAAACAACTGTGTTTTTGTTTCCAAACACACATTCTATGTATAAGAAAGTAAAATGAGGGGAAATAAATATAGTGAATGAACATTCAAAAAAAAAAAAAAGCTGAATCTTTTTAATTAATGAAACCCATTCTGCTCATGCTGCACGTCAAGTGCACTGATTTGTTGTAGACAATGGGATTACTCTTGGATTTAAAGTGAAAAACAGAACTAACCAGTGATGGGACCTGTGCTAAGCTGTAGGGTTTCCAGTGCACATCAGGTTTATGTAGTACTCTGATCATTATCTTCTAATTCCCATCTGCACTTGCTGCCACACATGTATATTCATAATTGTCACAGCATTAAGATAGCCATTGAAATGCATTCAAAATGAGATAACAGTAGTTCCTCACTTAAATTTGATGAATTTCCTAGCATGGCATGCTGTTTTGCTATGGAGAATAATGCATCTACATGGGGTAAGTGATGGTAAGTTCCAGGGAGTTCATGTCACATTTGTCAAACAATGAAGTACCCTTTCCAGACACACAAACAGCTTAAATTTATTTTGGGGTTTGTCTCTGGTAGTTAAAACAGAGGGACAAACTGAAGATAAAATACTAAAATACACATTAATTTTGTGTATTAATGGATTTAAAAAATATTTTCACACAATGCTTCTCGTTTCCTAAATGCTGATGCTGTTGTTGCTGCATACCAGTGTTTGGGCAGCTATTGTTATCTCTGGATACATTTTCCCACAGCTTCCCTACTTGGCAAGTGCAAAAGAAATTCTGACCATGTGTTGGTATTTTTCACAAAATGCTGCATTAGGTGAGAGCTCTACAAATTAAAATGCTCTGCTAAATGAATAAGAAATTAGAAGAACCCCTTTGTAAATTGGACTTTCTGTTAAAACCCAGTGTAAACAGGTCTCACCTGCTCACTCCAAACTGCAATTAAAAATCTATTTTGAAAATGAGCGTGATAGCGTACTTGCCTTTGGTTTTCAGCACTTGTACTGATATGAGATCCTGAGGTGGAGGTTTAAGAAATACCAGCTATCACAAAGACTTTTGCATTATCTTTAAGGCTAATTAGTTTATCCTGAACACTCTTCATTAGCTCAGAGAATGTTTTTGTTTCCCAAGGCCCATTGGTTGAGGCTGTGTGCAACCACAACCTTTTAATCTTCTCTTTGCTCTGTAACTTAATGTGAATTTGGAGCAGTTGCTTTGCTTTGTTTTCCATTGCGTGCATTGTTTTCTCTTGTGATGCCAGAGCAGAGAACCTTCCTTCAGTCTTGGTGAGATATTTCCGTTCACTTTAACTTACGGTTCTCTCTAGCTGACGTGCCAACTTTAGTTTATTTCCAAAACTGCTTGCTGCCAACTGAATATGGAGCCGTTTGTGCATCTGGTATGGGTCAGCATGTTGGACTGCTATTATATATCAAATACAGAAGCTTGTTTTGCCAGAAGTAGCTAGTGAGGATGTCTAAATATTTTAACAATCTGGAGTTTACTGTATGAAGTAGAGATTGTGAAAAATGCGTACTCCCAAGTTAATACACACTAGACTTCTGGGTGTGGGAATGTTCTTGCTGTTATTTTCCATTTCAGAGTTTTAAGAGGATTTGTTGGAAATGGATAGTCCTGAAGCCATTGGAATTGAAAACATTCAATGCCTTGCTTCCTTTGTGTTGTGATGTTTTGGATTACAGGGTATATGTGCATTTTTTTCAAATTACAGAACAAAATAACAATTGTTTTTCATTGTCTTTTAGGTTTTGGTGGAGAAACATACAATAATGAGCGGCGACCCTACGGTTTTTGGTTCCCCCCTGAGCACCGTTCAGAAGAGGAAATGCGAAGGCAGAGGCTTCGTAGATTTTGGAGACAATGACAGTGGTAGGCGTTGATGTAAACTGTGAAGTGATATTCAGAATTAACAAAATATTTGCAATTTTATTTATTTGGGTTTCTTTTTTCTTTTTTACTACTATTTGCAAAACTGCAGAAGATTTTGCGCGCTTAGGCTGAAAAATTGGATAAAAATGAGTTGGGAATTAAAATGTGATCTTTGTCATTCCATTTTGATGCATCTTAAAGATGAGAGAGAACTGTTTTTTACCAAACTTTTTTTCCCTGAAGTTCTGTGTAGCCTGGCTCTTTGACTGCTAGTATTCTCAGACAACAGGTTTTCTTCATCCATTACAAAGGAAAAAAAACACAAAAAACAATAAACCCTTTTAAAACGTAATTTTAAAACTATGCAATTCTTTTTTTTACTTATTTTTGGTATGAGATGAACAACTCTTCTGGGATTGGGATGTCAATTGTCACTTGAAAAGACTGCCATGAGGACAACGGCTGGATCGCACGAGTCTAGGCTTAGACTTTTCATGGAAAGGAAGATGCATAAGCCATACAAGGAATAGATTTAGTTGTTAACTTATACTTTTTTAGAAATACCTGTCTTCCTTTTTAAGAGGATTTGGAAATTATATTGAATTATATTGTGCATAAGCTGTTTATAGAGCTATAGAAATTCAGCTGTTCAACTCTATATGTATCTCATTTGAGGTCCAGTCAGCAGAGGTAATAGTTTGCAGACTGGTGGAGGTCTTGCCTTAATACAGTGAACTTGGAATTCTTCATTTTCTATAACGCATTCCTGGACTCAATTCCGGAATAGCTGACAGCAGAGCTGGGAGCTTGGCTGTCCCTGTGCACAGGTCATCTATTCACTGCCCTGCTGGTGGCATATCTGTCTGTTCAAAGATGTTAACTAACAAACCTAATGCTTTTTTTGAGGATCGTTCTGAAAAACCATTCATTGCCTAGACTTATTTTTCTTGTTTATGGGAAAAAAATCTTCTGAAAGATACTCCTATAACTATTTTAGACCTGAAGAGATGTGACTGAACAAAAATGATTTAATTTTTGTCTTTTGGCACAGAATTGTTTGAAACTCTTTAGCACTCACTTAACGTGGTGCTAGGATGAGCAGTTTAATGATTTCTTTTCAGAGAGATGATCACCAACCTGTGTTACATGAAGTCTGTCTCTATGAAGTTACAGATCGAGTGTAAAAGAGGAAAAAAAAGTTACGTGGTTTAAATAGAATTGATTATGTGGTTTAAATAGATACCTCCTGCTATTAATGTATGTTGGGGAAGTTTATATTTGCTGCAAAACACGTAAGCTGTTCTCCCACTAATGTGCCATTCTCTTTCACCTTCCTACCTATTCCTGGTTGTACGCCCAGCAGCTGCACACTGTTATACTGGATATAAGGTTCAAGGGTCTGAGATCCCAAAGGCATGAATGAACTTTGGATGTAATTGTTTAGGTGATATAAAAATGCTGTTGATATTATGCACAGTGTTTTCTGTCAGATTCTAAAACAAAGGATAAGTAATGGTGAATTATTGTGTTCTTTGTCTTGGTTTTTTTCCTGATGTGTGTGCCTTGGTTGTTTTTCAGTATATTCAGTAGCTGCAGAATAAAAAAGCAGATACTCATACCTTACTGTAGGCTAACTTTCTGATATTTAGTTAAATATCAAAAAAAATGCATAGTTTGCACATTTTGCTCAGTGTGTAATGATGTGTAAAGGAGGAAGTAGGAGAACTGTTTCCTCAGACAAAATGTAACACACTGGTCAAATGCTTGTGCAATTTACTGTCTATTATTTTAATTAAAAGCACTGCACTTCAGTAGTTAGTTGGAAGAAGTAAAGCAAAAACCAAGATGAAGAATGTGATTACAACCACGTGAGTAACACAGGACGTTCCTCATGCTTACATTTTGTTGAATGTTTGCCATTAAATTCTTAAGAAAACCTCTCAGTACTAATAGCTGTTCAGCTGTTTTCATTTTTTGTGTAAAAAAATTGAAATAAAGTTTGTTTATATTTCATGGTGTCTGTTTCTCATTATATTAATTAAAGCATATATTTCAAATAGAGCTGCCATAATACTGTTAGAAGTGAAGAATGGTGATACTGAGGGGGCAGATTAATTGTGTTGGGACTATTCCTGCTTCTTTTGAACTTAGTGAAAGTTTGGGGATTGGATTACTGGAAAGTTCCCATATTAACAGTGTTTTGGAAACTTTTAGAGTGATTCCCTAGCAGGGACTTACATCCACTGAGGCTGGTAGATGAAAGTCACAGGTGAATTCCTAACATTCATGTGTACTGCTGTCTCTTCAAGGGCTGAAATTCAGGACAGCGTATGCGAATGGATAATTCTACACTGATTATTTTTTGTTCAGTGGCTGACAATTTCTACATAAGATTAGGATTTAAAAGAAAAGAACAGTTCTGATTAAAAAAAAACAACGAAAACCCCACAAGCACACAGCAACAACAAACAACACAAAGCACCAACACTTTTGACACCTAAAGTTTGTTTCCTTTGTTTCAGATGCTGTGTTTTCTTGTAAATATTTCACGCTTTTTCCAACCTCAGTCATCAGTTACCATGTAAGAAATCTTACACCATTAATCAATCCCAATCAGCAGGCTTGTTAACAGGCCTCTTCTTGAAACCTAATAATTCAGTGACCTAGCATCTTACTGCTTATAAATATGGGTATATTTCAGTCCCAAATTAAGATGTGGTTAAAAAGCAGTGTTTAACTTAAAGTTTTTTTTTTTCCCCCCGCTTCTGTTTTGTCTTTAAGCAAAGGCAAAGCATATATTTATGTGTGAGTTGTTTTTTCCAAGCAGCACTGCTTCTCCTCAGGGTGAAAGTGCCCTAAAATACGTTGTCAAAATGGTACATCACCACAGCAGGAGAGATTGTTCTAGAGTGTCACTGCTGATACTGTTCTCAATACAGACTGCAAATTAGGTCAAAATCTACCTTGCTTCCCTTCTGTTGTTGTCACCTTAAATCAGGTAAGTGAATGTTAATGATTTTCAGCTTTCAGTTGTAGCAGAACTGTTTATAAAGGAAACGTACTCTTCCTAAAGGGTATAAATCTTGTATCTCATGTAAGTTAGCTCAGAGGTGAGAAAGTTGAGAATGGGAACTTTCAGTAACATTTCATCTAGTGTGGGTATTTTTATTTATATTCACCTGTGTCATCTGAAGATTAGAGCAATAGGGGTTAGTAAGACACAAGATTGAGATACTGCTAACAGTCTTCTGCTGTATGAGAACAGAGTTAAGTTCATGTCTTTTGTTTGTTTTTACAAGAAGAAATTGTGTAATGTGCAGCAAATGAATGTGAGTGAAGGCTTTCTAACTAGTGGAGCTTTGTAATAAGCTAACGTATATTCTGCAGTCACCTTCTGTAGTTTTTATGGGGCAGGTTAGACAAATATCTGAGTTTAACATTTACTGTTTACTTGCTCTTGCGTTATTGGAGGATGTTTGATTAAGTCCGTCACCAAAGCATTCATTACAAAGATCGTTTCAGAGGCGTTGATGGGAAGACCAGCAATTTGTCTTTTCCCTCTGTATGTAGTGATCTAAGGAATGGTTCCTAAATCTGTACAATTTTAATGAGTGTGGGGTGACCTTTTTTGCTGATTCCTTAAAACCAGTTCCAGTGTATACATCCAGCATCTGAGAACGCTGTTATGTTCTTTTGTCTGATCAACAGGTGGACCGAGTGCAACTCATCTGGTTTTGGTAAAATTTTGTTCATTTGCATTGGAGCAAATTGTAATTCAGCAGTGTCTGACAGTCTTTGAAATACACGGTGTGCAGAGGTCGGACTTCCCACTGCCAACTCTGCCTGGAGTTTTGAAGAACTGAAGTCAGAGTGGCTGTTGTGGAAAAATGGCTTGAGTATCTGAAACAGTGATATTTGTTGTAACTGCATGGAAGACTAAATTCTGTAAAAGATCTTGATTTTTTTTTTTTTTTTTTTTTTGTGGCAAAGTTTTATTTTACCAAGCTGAACACGATGTAGTTTTGGGGCTTGAATACTTTATTCTAAATCTTTCTGTAAATGATGAGGTGGTAGTGCATGGTGGTGGTTCTCTGCTTGGCATCCCTAACCAGAGGAGTTGATTTGTGTCAGGCTGTGTATGTTTCTTTAGAAATCAGTATTAATTTTTCTTTTGCATCGTCTTTTGCTTCACTTATAGCTGTGGAAAACAAAGCATTTAACAGACTTGTTTCCTACTGAGAAGCAGCCAAGCACTGTGCTGGTTGAAAAGGTGAGATTTGCTCAGAGGTGTTCTTAGATGCTGAAGGCTGTCTACATTGTGCTAGGGAACCATGTGTTTATATAAATTCCAGAGTGATGGGGAGCTGTTTTTCCATTTAACACTTACAGAATTTCACCTCTAATTGAACTTCCAATACATTTTGGACCCTCTAGATGAAGTGGATAGAAAGGTACAAACACAGCAATATCTGTTTGAACGTTGTGGACAGGATTCCCCTGCTTTGCTTGTTTTCCAGCTGGTTGTGGTGGGCAGAACTTCAAACATTTACTTTTTTAAAATGCTGATTTTTGAAATAGTATCCAGCCATGAAATAGATGCTCATTCTGGGGAAGTAATTCCCTTACTTGCTGAAGTTTTTACCAAAACAATTGTGTAACAGTTTTTATCATTTCAGAGGCAAGGCAGATCCTTTCCTGACTGTTCTTCACAACTGTTTTTTGAGTAATCCTTTTTCTTGCAAACAGCTGTTCCCCATTACTTTTAATTGACCCATCTTCCCTGTGATTTTGATTTTTTTTTTCTTTCTTGCCCAGACAGCTGATTCCAGAGGGCATGTAAAGCATTAAACAGAAGTCCTCATTTGCAGCCTTTCTTTAAAGTGTGGCAGACTAAATTCAATTAAAAGTTATTTTGGGATTGCTTGTGCAAGATCTTACAAGACCAGGCTTCAGTCTGTAGAGTGATCTCATTTACAGCAGTCTGCATGGAACTCCAGAAAGAAAACTGCCCGAATGGACTTGGTTTGTTTCCTGAATTTGGATACTGGCAATACTTACAGAATTGATGAGGGTTAATGATACAGTCTCGTGCTAGATTGCTTGCAATCATAGTAAACCGACTATGTTCAGCTGTATGTTGAAGTGGAAACTGATGGAATCAGATCAACTCTGTTTTCCCCTCAATTACTCAAGTACTTGTGTACCTTAATGCTGTTTTCAAAATAAGATAGAAGTGTAGACTACCAGATTTTTTTGACTGTTTTAATACTTGTTGTTGTTTCACTGGTGCTTACAATCCAGCCAAAGGAAGAAAGAGTTGTTTTGGTTAAGAGTTTATCTGGAAAAATTCCTGGAAGGCTTTTGCCTGAATTTGTTGCATGTTATAAATGTGGTTCTGAGAATAACTCTCTAAGTTGTTTTCTGATCTGGAAATTCTCTACTGTTGCTCCATTCCCTCTCACTGATAGCCTGGTGAAGCTCTATCTGCTGTTGCTGCCCTGTGCCAGTAAGTTCTCAGTGAGTTTTTCAGGAAGAACAGCTGTGCTGTCACTGCTTGCTCAGGCTCACATCAGTCATGTGCCTAGGAACAAGTTCCATATAGGCAACTTCATTGGCACTTCCACACATCCATAGTTGAACTACTGAATGCAATAGGACATTTGTATTCCCCAAGGGCTGGGGCTTCCATCCAGATGGAATCCTGAATGGCTGTAATGCCAACAACCAGAAAGCCCAGCCAGCAGAATACTTCGGTGTTGCTATTAATATCTTCCTTCCGTGTAGGAAAATCTTTGCTGCTTTGTGGGGCATACACAAAATTCAGACTTCTTGAATGCAATGGTGCTTGGGCCATAAGGACTAGCACAGGGGTATTGCCTTAAAACTGTTCTAACGCTTAAGAATTATTTCAGCTATACCTTTTTACATTTAATTTCATAATTAGATCCCATATGAATAATTTACCTAATTATTTTTTGTGTACACTCACTGGACAAATGATTGCAGAATTAGAGTACATCTGCTTTGTAATTTAGTATGTCTTATTTGCTTAATAATATTAAGCGCTTCATCTGCAACTTCATTTTGAATTAAATCTGATATTTGACAAATGCCTCTGTCAGCTAAATGCAAGACAGAAACCTACGTAGCTATTAGACATTCAAAGCTATCAGTGGTAGATTAAATGTACATCTCCAATGCTTTCATAGGAAACAGATGTAGCTGACAGGTGCAAAAACTTTGTTTCAAAATAGTAGAATGCAATTGTTTTAGATCATTTAAAATTGAACATGACCAAAACAGTAGAGTACCTTGAAATGGCTGATTTAGATGCTGGGTGCCGTCCTTGTGCCATAATGGCCTCATGCAGTAGTACAGGCTGGGAGGGGAGAGGAGACACTAAAAAGTCACCAGCAGAATAGGTCCCAGGGGTGCTGGTCACAGCCAGCTGAACAGGAGCTGCAGTGTGCCCAGGTGGGCAAGGAGGCCAACAGCATATGGCCTGCATCAGGGAGTGGTCAGCAGGAGCAGTGAGGGGATTGTTCTCTTGTATGCAGTGGTGGTGAGACTGTACCTTAAGTGCTGCATTCAGTTTGACCTCTCAGCACAAGAAAGTTATTGAGCTGCTGGAACACGTTCAGAGAAGAGCAACAAAGCTGGTGAAGAAACTAGAAAATGACACATGAGGGAGTGGGTGAGGGAACTGGGCTGTGTGGGCTGGAGAAGAGAAATTCTTCCAGATGTCCGGTGGTAAGGCAATGGAAAGGACGGCCCAGGGCAGTGGTGGAATTGCCCCAGATATTTTTAAGAGATGTGTGGATGTGGTGCTTAGGGACATGGTTTTAGTGGTGAGCTTTTAGTGTTAGGTTGATGGTTGGATTTCATGTTAAGGGTTTTTTTTCCAAACTAAATAATTCTATGATTCTAGATTATCGTTTTTTGATCCTTACAGATGTTTTTAAGACTTTTCTGCATACTTGCTTCAAGTTGGATGAACAGCAGTCC